ACAGCCTGTCCACCTCGACTTTTCTTCCAGTTCGGAGCAATGTCTGCAAATAGCGCACGGCATAGCAGACGTTGTTCAGGCATTCGTAGGACGTACTCCAGGCAACTCAGACGATGCAGTGAAATGATTTTGCTCCATGAAAGAATATCCGACCATTACACACGTCATCTGACCTTATCGTTACCCACATACCCGACATACGCGGGCGCCGTTGTGCAGACAAACGCTGTTAAAGACGGATATTCGTTGGATCTAATCTGCTCGGAGGACAGATTTTGCAATCGGGGAGCAACGCGGTGCAAACCGTTGAACAATAAACACGCCATTACAATGAAAGAGATGTGTCGTACCGGTGCCAAAAATGCTGTAGATTATCAAACGCCACCGTAGTTTTGATTATGCGCTGTGAGATTTCATGGCCCACAACTCCAGCAATCGTTACGCAACTCCCCAGATAGACAAAGCTTTCAAATACTTCCAGAGTGTGGTTAACCAACGAAAGTGCAGGAACGGGTTTCTTTCAACCTTGCACAACACCTTGTAACTAGAAGGTACAAAGGACATAACATAATGACCAACCTCAATTGCCAAACGACTCAGAGTGTTTTGAATAACCGGTGCGTTGTTAACGAGTAAGACAATATCATCGGCACACGCAAAGTCTAGGACTGGATCGACGCCAGGGTTCGTTACGATAAGTAACGATTGTGCAGAACATCATCTATAGCATAGTTAAAGGAAAACGGATAGTTAGGGTAACCCCGTCGTACCAAAATGGTGACAGGAGATGAGGGTGAGAGTTCACCATATGGCACATGAGTCAAAGGACCGATCCCGAATAACGGACAGTCAATCAACGCACCAATGAACAATGAAACGAACCGAAACCCGAGGGCCTCGCGTGACAGGACTCTAAACGTTTTCACCTGGGGGCTTCCGTCACGCTCCCGTTTCTGATCAGCACCGCATTGCCTTCTGGGTCAAACTTTTGAGTCGAAGGATCCGGTCAGGGTTCCTAAAGAAAGACTCCGTTGGCGGAGACTACCGCAAAGAATATTTTGCCCTTAAGTCTCGGGCACCCAGTTAGAAAACCCACTTTCCATCTGCCTAGGAATCGCGCAAACCACCACTGAAAATAAACAGTGTTCAATATGGATCGAGCAGAGTAAGTTCCCTTCACTGGCATGTCCCCGGCTTTAAGGTCTGAGATTACGAAACATATAACTGCAGTTAAACCTTTGTGAAATATATCCTAGATACTGAACAGTCGGAGATAACACCTATGACCAAGAGGTTTTGTGATATTATTAGTCATGCTACAAAACAAGAACAGAGATGGGAACGAAATCAGAAACGTACCATAACCCCATCACGTGATCGTAATAGCCACTCCAATGCGAGATGAGCAAGAATAATTGATGTCTCATACTGGTAGGCAATAGTTGGGTCCGTTTGTCCTCTATTGTTTGCATGATACGAAACGAGAGGGAGATGGAAAGCACCTCGTGATACAGAAACCGAGCATAAAAAAGGTTATCAACTTTTTAATTTTAATTTTATTTTGCTCATTGTATTGAATACATAATACTTGTAGTCGAAAATCTATCCGGATGTTTGGGGAAGACACTCATTTTATTAAAAACGAATTTGGAGAACCCTTCGATTTTTATATCCCATAAAGCAAACTCGACACTTAGCGCACCAGATCCAAAACTGAGCTTCTCAAGGGGATCCGTTGAATTGAGGGCTTCAGAACAGTTGGACAGATTGCTAAGGATACCCCCAAGGCATCAATAAAATCTTCGGCAAACATCAACGAAATGGGAGAACAAATGGGTCGAAGTAATTTCATGTCCAACAGGCAACAACTTCAGTAAAAGTGAGTGGGACAATTTTACGGCATTTTCTCAAATACAGCCTTTCACAATTTAGATCAGCGATTAATAATCATGCATAGAATTCTGATGTGAACGATTTGGAAAAGAGTGTTAGATCTCTGCTACATATTTCCAATCACCTGTTTTATACTACGCAGCAGAATACTGTGTTAGTCAAATGGCAACACCTTGTCCGGATTTAAATGTACTCTGCAAACAAAATATCAAATGTATTTGTGCAATAGTATAGCTAATGATTTATTAGAATCATTCATGAAAAACGGGTGAAGTACATATATATATGTAGGGTCTTGTTGAGAAGCCGGTAGTATTCCGAAGAGATGCGAGAAATACATTTTATTCTCTACTGTAGTTGATCAAACAGAGTAGGTGTGCTGAATGCCTAAACTCACTTGGCAATTGACGAATAAGCTCAAAAAGAAACACACACAAGTGTAGTCTCATTTCGACCAGGAGATGGGCTTCTGTCAACACCGGAATCGATGCTGAGGACACAGCTGCACCAGATGTGACTGCGGCAGAGCTCACTCCGCCAGCGGCTGCCGCAGTCGTAGTGGCTGAGGCTCCAGATGAAGGGCCTNCTGAGCCAGCTCCAGCTCCGGTCGAGCCAGTCTGAGGTGAACCGATTGCCATATTAGACGGGACTGATACAGTGGTACCCAAACCAGAGCCAATGTACATCGGACATGTAGGAATGGTGGCCTGGTCGGCGACGGATTCAAAGTAGATTCTTACACCATCCAAATAATCCGATAGTTGGGATATGAGACAGCCTTGAGCAGTCAGTGCATTCGATTCACTGATACACGAGATGGGATGAAAAAAGCGCACAGGAGTATCTGAGCAATAATCAAATAGAAATGATATGCTGATTTAGTAGCTATGCTAAAATCCATCACATATATCACCACCTTTTCACTAACCAGGCTTTTACTTACCAAGTCACAGAAAGATTCGTACGCACTTATCCTGATTACAATAGTGCCTATTGTGATTGTTTTCAACAAGGATAGTTTTGTTTGATTAAAGGATATGGAAGCTAGATTCGCGAAAATAATCCCGCGGTGTCAACACTTTCGTTCAGATGGTCACGTGGTCAAACAAGATGATTAAACTCAATATAGAGAGAAAACGATAACATACTAGCTACAGCTGATTCACCGCTATGGCGATTGAATGAAGTGCCAAAGATGAGCAAAAGTGTCATCTACCAACATATGGCAAACAGATAGCGTTGACCAGGGTTTCCGCATCATTTCGGCCAAAACGACTTCGGTTTATCATTCTGCGCATAACCGAGGCTAAAGCTATGTAACCAAAAGCCATTCATTTTCATTTTTATCTTCTTTTATTGAGTACTTGATGGTCCAGTATTCAGGAAGGGGCAAGCGATCAATCAAATGACTGCCATACAACATTAAATTGGGGGAAAGTCACACGGTGGTGGTGGGATTCAAGCACACGTCCTCATGGGTAATAATTTGGTGGCGTTACCACCGCCCATTCGGGCATTAGCTTTGCCATAGCCTCGGATGAAGAAACCCAACAATACACCCCCGAGGGCGAACCAATGACCGAGGACAGATGAGGATCAGGTAAATAAACTTAGCATACTTTTTGTATATTATTTGATGCGATTGAAACCAGATCGACGAACCCAAATAACTCTATACAATTGTAATAGCCATTTGATGAATTCATCGAAGAACAGCTTATTTTGCCTACCGGACTTTGTTTTCAATGTGGCAATGGGCATTTTTCATTTACCAAAGAAATAGATCAAAGATCTTATTAGACCACCTGATTTTCAGATGCCCCTAATATCATTCTGATACAACTGAATAAATTCAGTTGTGAATCGGATGCATAGATGCATCCAGAGAGGAAATAGAACTCAATCAAAAGACAGTCATATCAAATCAACCGGCTGGAAAATTTCTACGATCGAGTTTGCTTACAAAATAATCCGTTGGCCTAATAGAGTTCATCTCTCTTTCTCGTATTAAACCTTGACAATATAGTGAACTGGAACACTGAAAAAAATCATTAGAGTGACTTTACCTAGTGCAACACTCTTGAGGTTTGACCAACAATTTCCAGGGATTTCCTTTTACGATTGCGTATACCGAAAACAACTTCGTAAACAAAATCTCTTAGTGGGAATATATACATCATCCCGTAAGCAGGAGGAAAAACACGTACATATCTACAGAATATTGGAGTACCATCGTTATCATTCGTGAGACGGATTGCAAACGACATTACTGACACTGCATTGATGAACAACTAAACGGTATTGAAGAACATATTCCAAACCCGTTTCACCAACAGAAGAATAGTGATATGAAATGATATTGGCCACCAATTTCGTCTGCTCTCATCCAGCTGTACACGCATGTTTATGTGATCATGCGAAACGAAGAAACATCGGAGAGTTGGGATGAGTCTTTTAAACAACCTGATGGACAAGTGAGTTGTGTGATTTGGGTTTGGTTAGGGATCAAGGTCAAGTGAGATGAAATAATTTGACATGAAAATGAAATCGTTCAAACAATATGGTGAGTACGGTGGAGAGAAGTTCAAGCAAATAGATAAGGAGGAAAGGATGTTTTACATACTCCAAAGCTCAAATGGGAACTCGTCATGTATGTAGCAAATGAAGGGTAAACTGAAAGGCTAGGAAGCAGCTGTTTCGATTTGTTTGGGTCTCGTCAGCAGTGCGAATCCATCGACCCAACTGCGGATCGAAAACTGAACATCCGGGGCAGAACCCAAACCTGCTACCCACTCGGACACCGGGCAGCTGATCAGTCCGTTTTCATTTTAAATTTACACGATATAGCACAACCCATCTTTGCGAACTTGTTGTAGGCCCTTTAGGGGCCTT